TAATTATTAACCCTGTTTCATAGATACAATATTGCAATACGGATCTCTGCATGGTAAAAATGGAAATTTAATAAAATCTAAAATGTAAGGGTATATAGAACTAATAAACATGAGTATGCATATATACTACCTAAAGAAAAATTTGCTCGCTAGTGAATTCAAATTACCCGGGACAATTAACAGACAACTCGCAGGTAATTTTTTCAGGGTTCTGATGCTTTGGGGATAATCAACAAACTCCTTGCCAATTCTCAAGGAGAGTTTCCAACAGTAAATAAAACCCATAATTTGCTCTCGCTATGCCATTTAATAATCATATGTGGGAGTCAAAAGAGAGGTTTCATTGCAGGTAAAATATTATTTTCATATTTTGCCTGTATTCAGAATATTTCAGTGTCATCTGTAAAAGCACACCAATATTTAATGGCAAAATAAATGCAAAATATCAGGGACTTTTTATCAATTTGGTATGCATCCTACTACTTCATATTGTCTGAAACCAAGATTTCTCTCACGCTTTTCTTCATTTATTTTTACAGAGTATGGCATTATAAAACAATAATTGAGAAATCAATCATAGTAGAAAATGGAGAGTAATTTGGTGATCTCCATAGTACACCAAAGCTGATGTGATCAATTTAATTTTTCCTCTTATTTTTGAATAATCAGTATTTGTCAATATAATTTTTTCTGCCTTTCATCATTACAACTAAACAAGATTTATATAGCTTTTATTGCATTCATTGAAGACATTTAATTTCCTTATTGTAGTATCTACTGATACCCAATTCAATATTTCTGACATAAACTACGTGTGCATAGGGACAAGGTAGGTATCAGAAGGTCATAACATTGTAAGGAATGACTAACATGAGATAGTGTATTTCCTCAGTAATTGTTCTATAAATCAATGATATCTTATTTGCTTAAACATTCTTGATTAAGAGGCTGCTGCTATTCCTATTTTCATTCAAAATATTAATGACTTTGCCTTAGCTTTCCATCTTCATCCTTCTCTGGTATTTTTTTTTTTTTTTAAATATGTGGTTTATTATTATTGTTGTTGTCATGTGCCCATGGAGTCATTTCCAACTCATAGCGACCCTGTACAGGGTTTCCGAGACTGTAAATCTTTACGGGAGCAGAACTTCTCATCTTTCTCCCATTGAACAGCTGGTAATTTCGAACTGCTGACCTTGCAGTTCACAGCCCGATTCGTAACCACTACACTACCAGAGCTCCTTATGCGTTTTTTTTATGGCAATTATTTTAATTTAAACATACTAATGTCTAGCTGCCCTGTGTACCCTAAAATACCATAAAATAACTAACTTGGACCCATAATGCAGAAAAGGATTTAAAATAAAATCCAGGAATATGTATGTATTATTAGTGTATCTAATGTCTATATTAGGGTGGAGAACGTCAGGCTGCTTGTCATGTAAGGCACGGGAAATCATTTGATGTGGCCCTGCCAAGGCAAGTGTAGTTCCATCCATCACATCATTGTTGATGTTAAGTACCATCGATATATTCTGACTCATAGTGCCAACCTTGCAGTTCAAACTGGCTTTGCAGTCCAGCGTATAAACCCACAGCGCCATACTAGGACTCCATTGTTGTTGTTGTTGTTGTTGTTGTTAAGTGCCGTCAAGTCGGTTCTGACCCATAGCGACCCTGTATAGGGTTTCCGAGGAGCAGCTTGAA